CTGTGAACAGTGGGAAAAGTGCTAGCTGGTCTCCTCTCTCTGCCACTGAGAAAATATGAGAAGAAAGATAAAGGAGGTTGAGTGGCTAGATCACTAAGATGGTTAGAGCACAGTTTTGATAACACCAGGGTCAAGGGTTTGGAAGCCCACATAGACCATCCATCAGTAAATAAATAAGCAACAATAAAACAAAGAAAGATGTTCAAACTCAAACCAAATTTAAAGAAAATATAAAGGAGCTGAAACTTGCTGAGTTTAAAAGAAAACTACTTTTCAACCCAAGTTTTTGCCAACAAAATATTTTCAAAGACACAAACTACTTTGTTTCAAGAATTAGTGTTTTCTTTAAAAAAATATTTTCAGTATTCTAAGTATCATAAGGTGTGATACATAGACAGTACCTGCTAAATAAAACTCCTTAAGAAACAGCTGCCTCAGAGAGAAGGTGAGGTCAGAGAAAAAAGGGCCTAACACAGAGGTAGCATTGGTATAATGGATTATAGTACAATGGAAGCTCGTGCTTTTTAGAGATGTACAAGGGTAATTTCCTGAATCAAAAGGGCATAATTAGAAAAAAATTTTTAAAGAGTCATTGGATTTTCAACTATTATAACATAAAAACAGGCAAAGAAATTGGTCAACTGCAAACAGGCATTTTTATTGACAGAGAATAGTGAGAAGCCAGAAGACAGTGAAGAAATGGGAGACATTGTTTCCACAGACAAACACGGGGCCCTAATCAAAGAACTAAACCAGGTGCCCAATGTGCATAACCTACTGCTCAAACCAGTGCCTTCAGGGTACTGCCCCTTTCCACCCACTGTGTCTGAAGGGAAGTGTCCACATGTTCATGCCATTCTCCTCAATGTGAGCTGGCCACATGTTGAGGAGATGAAGATACCAGGTCACTGGACATGATTTATTTGGGTCTTCAGTTAATTGTATAACAGTACAAGATTTCTAGGGCTCTTGAGAGGGGCAAAATACATTTTGCATGTGGTAGAAACTTCTGGCCAGAGAGCTAACTGTGGTCTATTAAAGACTGCTGCAAAGTCTTACTATTCCTCTTATTGAAAGGTGGAATCTAATTGTCTTCCTTTTGAATCAGGGCTGCTCTTAGTGATGTGCTTGACTAAAAAAATGGGTTAGGAGACAGAAATGTATTAGGAGACATGCTTTTGGTAGCTGAGTATAGATAACCAGATGCCTCACAGCCACTTCCTGGGCCTCTTGGACAACTGCCATGGAAGAAGCCAGACAAACCCGACTACCCTGAGACTGCCAGACTCTGAGGAAGCCTATCTGGCCACAAAGAGAGAGCTGGATGTCTGTCCCCAGCTGCTAGTGTTCTTCCGTGTGAGACAAGACACATCATGCAGCAGCCAATCCACACTGCCCTTTTACAGTCTTACCCACAACATTCCAACATGGAGTAAGGAAGAAACTCTTATTCTAAGCAACTTGGTTTTGTATCACTTTGTTACACAGCTGATCATTGGAACACCAAACAAGTCATTAGAGACCATGGACAGTACTCTGATATGCAACAGGAAGTATGTAGGTTCACATTGAACATTAGGTCCAAAATAAAGCCAGCATTTCACATCTTGTGTTACATCTCAAACTCTAAGAATGTCAACTTTCAGTTAACTATTTTTTCACTTTTCTTTCTTAACTGACTGTTAGCTATGGTTCTAGTTTATAAACATACTGATGACTAATGCACACATCCATTTTTCTCATTCACTTCTAAGTGATTACCTGAAATAAAAGGAGAGTAAAATACAATATGTAAGAAAGTTTAAAAATATGACAAGTCTTCTTGAACTAGAAAAAGAAAACTGTACAGTAAGAAAAACTACATGTAGAATCACTGACATAAATTTATAGAAGCAAAATGAACAAATTATGAAAATCTGCAATTTCTGTTATTATTCATTGCATGACTTTTTATTGGCTCTTCATGAATGTCCCACTAACTTCTGAAGGCTTTCTCCCCTCAGACTCTTAAGAATGTCACCACAGGTGCTTGTTAGCAGCACAGGTCACCAGGGATTGAACCTCACCACCCAGGAAACATGCCCTTTGGGGTTTTACAAGAATATTTCCAATGGAACAAAGTTATTGTCTTTGTAAGTACCAACACCTCCTCCCCCATATAGGCAGTGTATACAGAAATCTGAATAAATGAAAAGAACAAGCAAACAAAAGTAGCAAGAATTGACACCACAAAGGATTAGACGCAAGAAACAGGGAAGAGTCCAGGAAACATCCCATTTCACTGGCTTGGGTCACTGCATGGATTGTAGTGATACCACATGTAAGAGAAAAGAAGTAGATGTCATTTTCATTTTGGATTCATTGACCTTAAGGTACCTTTTAAACAGCTACAAAAAGCAGTCAACAGTGAGTTGAACCTATGACCCAAGGAAAAGAGAAGTAGAAAAGGGAAGAAGCTAAAGAAAACCAAGAGTGTAAACCACAGAGGACTGAATGAGTCAAGAAGAACACAGAGAGAAGAACAGCACCCAGAATGAAGCTCTGTGATGAGCAATGTTTAGAAGAAGAATTCAGAAGACAGAAAACCATCAGTAATGGCAAGAGAGAAACTAACTAACACAGAAGAATTTCCGTGAGAAGATCATGAACAGCTTCAAATGTGGCAGAAGATTCAAGTTAGAAAAAGGCTACAGAATAGGCACTGGATTTCACTGTAATTTAAATGATAATTCCATGTTTTATTCATGAATCAAGTACAGTCTTCCAAATCTGTACACAAACCACAGGGCTTGTAAGTGAAGCCATCTTGAACCAACAGCCTCAATCACAGCACCAGGTCACTAAAGCTACATTTGCCATCCAGGTAATGCTAGCATGAAAACTGCCCAGCTAAGTACACTCAACATGTCGATCCATAGAACTTCAAGGAAATAAAATGGCCAAATATTTGAAACCATTGCATTTTGATTTGTTCTTACACAACAAATGCTAAATAATACATGTAAGCTCCCAGAACTTGGTATATGTAAACAAAATTATGTGGGTGAGAAAATCTTAAGTTACATGAAATCTTACAGTCTGCTTATTCAGCAACATGTGCCTTAGCACTCACTAACCATTTCCACTGTGGAAAGCTATGTGTTTATTTCCAGGTTGGCAGTCAAAAACATCCTAATAGAAGTGGAATTTCAGAATTTAGTGCCAGGGCCAGCCCGTGGCTCACTTGGGAGAGTGATGCTGATAACACCAAGGCCAAGGGTTCGGATCCCCATATAGGGATGGCCGGTTAGCTCACTTGGGAGAGCATGGTCCTGACAATACCAATTCAAGGGTTAAGATCCCCTTACCAGTCATCTTTTTAAAAATAACAAAAAATTTAGTGCAAATAAATCCTCATATCCCATGAGAATTTGGTATATTCTCTTCTCAGGTTCCATTCCAATCATGTAAAAAAAAGTGTTGGCCTTTTTGACATGACATTAGAAAGACCAGAGACAAATTATTAGTCAACTCAGATACTCAGAATTATTATATCTTGGTATATCTGCATGCAAACTTGACCTTACATATGTACATTTCCTTCAAGCTGAGGTTTACTCATTTCTACTTTCCCATTTTAATTCATGCTCCCCATAATACCCATGTAATACAGTGAAAAAAATGAAGAATAAATAAAGAAACAACTCACCGGAGATTTATCCATCTTTTCTTGTTCTTGGAAATGCACAGTGCACTCTGGCAGCTTAGCTGGGAGAGGAGGGAATGGAGTGGATTAAGAGAGAACTGTTGTTGCTTGACCCCAGATTCTCCTACCCAAAACTCTCTACATGTTAGCCTAAAAAGACAAACAAACAAACAAGAAGCCACCCTGTGAGACAACAATCCTTTATGGTCAATAAGTTGCAAAAAAGACCCATTAAATGTACATCTGCAAGTACATTAATTGGTACACATTAGACACACAATTTATTTTTGGAGTTAATAAAAACATACATTACCTACTGATTTAGCAAGAATCAACATTACCTAAAATAAAACTTCACCATTTAAACCAAAGAAAAACACATTGTGTCATTGCTAAAACTAATGCTATAGAAATATAGTTAGGTTATATTAACTATTTTCATATTACCATAATGACTCCACACATGACTCCAGATAAGTGTTTCCACTACAACACATCTTATTTATATGTACCTAAATATCTGTTTAGTATGCATCATGCAACCCAACATCTTTTACTCATAATCATATAGGTAAAAAATGTACATTATGGGGCCAGCCCATGGCCCACTTGGGAGAGACTGTTGCTGAAAGAAAGGCCAAGGGTTCAGATCCCTATATAGGGATGGCTGGTTAGCTCTCTTAGGAGAATGTGGTGCTGACAACACCAAGTCAAGGGTTAAGATCCCCTTCCCAGTCATCTTTTTAAAGTAAAAAAATATAAACTAAAATTAAAATAAAATGCACATTATGTATATTTCTTTTAGTACACTATTCCGGTAATAATACTCAGTGATGGACCTCCCAGCACCCAAACCCTCATGTAGTATGCTCTGACAATGAACTGGGCTTTGCTATGTGACTTGATTTTGCCAACAGCACATTAACAAATGTCATACAAATATAAGTTTGACAAGTACTGGCCACTGGTGATTGCCTTCTTAAACACAATCATAGTGTGAAGAAGCCTGGGGCTACACTTTGGAGACACAGGGCCCAGCCAAGAGTCAGCACAAACCACAGGATATGTGAGTGAAGCCATCTTGAACCAACCAGCCTCAGTCAAGTCAACAGGTGACTAAAACCGAACTGCCCAGCTAAACACACCCAAAATATGGATACATAGAACTTCAACATAATAAAATGCATAGGTTTTTAAAGACATTTGGGTTTTGATTTGTTCCTTACATGGCAAATGCTAAATGATACACCTAAGCCCCCAGAACTCAGTACGTTTTGAACAAAATTATGAGTGGGAAAAAACCTTAAATTATATGTCAAATACAATCAATTTACCTTCAAAACCACAGGAACGAGTTTTGAAAATTACAATGAATGTCAATTTAAGAGGACTTCATTGAGGTTCTTGGTACTAATGCAGGCTATGTGAACCAATAAAACCAACTGCTGGCCCAACAGTAAACTATGGTGCAAGATTTTCTGGTTTTTTGTTTTAATATGTAGAAGTTGTTTACTTTAAAAACATAAAAAGTGTCTGTTTCTTATTAGTAGTGAACTGTACCAGAGTACTTTCAAAAGTTCATGGAAAAATATATACCAGAGTACTTTCAAAGGTTCATGGAAAAATATAATTAAAAGAAAATAGGGATCTCTCCATGAAGTGTTTGAAGCACACTAGTATTCTAATTTTCCCATTAAGTAATGTAAAATTGACTCCTATATATATATATCGGCAAAATTTGTGATTTTCAAGAAGAGAATACTAACATTAAAGGAAGTATTTGTTATTTACTCTTTATGGTGACATGCTCCACAGAAAGCACTGGAGATCAAAAAAGGATAAGGATGTGTAAGGCAATGTATGTTAAAGCATACTTAAGTTTACTTTAGCATTACAGAATTAATCTCAACAGTGAACAAACAGTTGTTTTGATGGAAGTGTGGTGAAATGGAGAACAGGAAAAACTCAGGATATGTAAGATCAACAAATCATGTGACCCTGCGCAACCCACATTTCCTCATGTCTAATTCTTTTCACTTTTCTTCCAAGATCGAAATACCTTGCAAAATATTCCTGAACTACCAGAAAGAAACTATGAAGATATAAAACCATCAGCATATCTCTAGATGCCAAAGTAGGTGACAGCCTGGGTTTGAGAGAGCTCCGACACTTGGAACAATGAGGGAAAATTGAAGGAATGGGAGTGTGTTCAGAGAGCACTGCAGACAGAACCTCTCATCTGTGACAGGTTATTCCTGCACCCCACAGAAAACCTTCGATCCTCTTCAGTGACCAACATTTCCTAGTTCTTTGCCTATTCTCAAACTCACTCTCCCTTTTGAAAGTTGGCCTAACCTTCCAATATCACCCAGTCTCAGGTAGCTACTGAATGAGATATTATCATCCAACTCCTGTGCACTGTAAGCACTAGACTGAATAACTGGGTGGGCTGTGAAAGTTAGGCCTTTCTAGGACTCTTCTGCCTTTGCTCTGAAGCAGTACTGAGAGGGTTCAGGCCACAGTGATCTTCTCCCAGGTAGGATTCCTATTCATATTCATAGGGTGCCCTCCTTCAAACTCTGTCATAGCTCCTGTACCCCAAAGAAAACCAGATTGTCATCCCATGCTCCAATATCCCTCCTAGAAGTCACTGTCCCTGAAAATTTGGTCTTATATCAACGTCTGTAAACACAGACCAGGAGTGCTAGGCAGACTACACAGTGCAGGAGGGACCAGAAACTTGACCTGAAGAGACACCAAGAAACCCCACAACCCAACTGCCACAGAGTAACACTCTGCACACACCTCACAGTTATTTCTCTGGGAATCTGGGGGCATTACACTAATATCAACATGCTTATGTTACAGATGGGTGAAGTTAATGTCCAATAGGTCAATACCAGGTTCCTGGATGGCAGAACTGGAATGTGACCTCCTGCACAACTCTCAGGCTCACTGTCTTTGCTGGAGTGAGCAGGACTGAAGCCGTGTTGGGACCTAAAGCTGCCTGGGATGTGGGGGGGGGAGGGGGGGGGGCGGGGGGGGGGGGCAAAGGCGCGGGGGGGGGGGGGGGGGGGGGGGGG